AACGTGATACAGTCAAGTTTCTGGGCCTCCTCTTTGATCGTAGGTTATCCTGGAAACCTCACATTACCTCTCTGAAGGCAACTTGTCACAGCCGGCTGAACCTTCTTAAAACCCTTGCTCATCTTTCATGGGGAGCTGATCGTCGAACCCTCCTTCGCCTACATTCCACCCTTATCTTATCGAAACTTGATTATGGTGATCAGATCTATTCAGCGGCATCTCCTGCTACTATCTCTAGCCTTAACCCCATTCATCACCAAGGATTACGTTTATGCCTTGGTGCTTTTCGCTCTTCCCCTGTCGAGAGCCTCTATGCAGAAGCGAACGTTCCATCCTTATCCGATCGCCGTGTTGCCCATTGCCTTCGCTACTATGTACGCTCTCATGATCTCTGCAATCCTTCCATTTATAGAATGGTCACTGATATTAGTAGACATTCTTTATTTGTTCGCCGCCCCTGTTTACTCCGTCCCTTCTCTCTTCGCCTTCATTTGCTCTTGTCTTCTCTTCAATTGCCACCTTTCTATGTACATGTAGCATCTCACTTTTCCCTACCCCCCTGGGAAGTTCCAGCTGTTCGAGTCTGTTCTTTCTCTCTCCCTTGCTCGAAAGCCCAACTGTCTACGGTCGCTTCCCGCTCTCTTTTTCTTGACCACTTTCACTCTCATTCTCATGCCATTGCTGTGTACACAGATGGCTCTAAGTCTCTGACGGCGTAGGATTCGCAGCAGTGTTTCCGGACAGCATCGTACAAGGGCATTTACTATCTTCGGCTAGTATTTTTACTGCTGAATTGTATGCCATCCTTACAGCACTTATCCGTATTGCATCTATGCCTGTGTCATCATTTGTGGTTGTCTCAGACTCCCTTAGTGCTTTACAGGCTATACAGAAATTTGATACACCTCACCCCTTAGTCCTCTGTATCCAACTTTGGCTACGCCGCATCTTTACCAAGCATAAATATATTGTTTTTTGTTGGGTCCCTGGTCATGTTGACATACAGGGCAATGAACAGGCAGACACTGCTGCGCGGTCAGCAGTACATGACCTACCAGTTTCATGTAGAGGTATTCCATTTACGGACTATTTTGCTGCAATATCTTCCCAACTTCACACCCGTTGGCAACAACGTTGGTCTACTATGCTCAGCAACAAACTTCAATCTATTAAACCGAGTATAGGTTACTGGCCGTCTTCTTATCACCAGTGTCGAGGTTGGGAGACTACTCTCTCCCGTCTTCGCATTGGCCATACTCGTCTTACTCATGGATATCTCATGGAGAGGCGCCCTGCTCCTGTGAGAATTGCCAAGTTCCATTATCAGTCAGCCACATTCTGTTGGACTGCCCACTTTATCAACGAGCACGCAGAATTTACCTCCGTCGTCGTCTTCGCTCTGCTGCTCTCTCTTTACCTTCCCTTCTCACTGATGGACCCACCTTTCATCCAGACTCTCTCATTGACTTTTTGACAACAACTGACTTCACAAATTCTGATACCTTCAGCCCTTTCTACTTCAATCTCTTGCTACCCTCTACCCCCGTACTATCCCCTGCCCCGCTGTTTTCTGTAACCTACTGATCATCCCTCCTCCCTTCTGCCATCTAATACCCTCGCTTCCTTCCCTACCCTGCAGCGCTGTATAGCCCTTGTGGCTTAGTGCTTCTTTTTGATTATAATAATAATAATACCATGATGTTAGCTGTCATGAATATTCCGGCTACCATGAAGAAAGCTGCGATGCTGGTAGCTATCATGAATATAGCTGCTACCATTAAGAGGATAATAACGCAAGTAACACAGACACTCACATTGTTAAGCCACAGTTGAGTGTTGTCTTAGTCAGGGTGCGCAGCTGGTGCTCCTGGTGTTGTGCGATGCTGACGTTGGTGTATACTGATAACTCATGCTTTATCTTGACACTGTGGTGATGCAGGTGATGGATCATGTCTTGGATGCCCGCCACTGTTACTGTGCTGTTGACACACCTGATCCTCCAGTACCTGTTGATGATGACACAACTGTTGTTGTCTGTTGAAGATCTGCAACCCTACCACAATCACTGTTGCAACCACCATCATCATTGTTGCAACCACCATCACTGCTGCAACCACCACAACCACCATCATTGCTGCAACCAAAACAAGCACCATTACTGCTGAAAACACTAAAACCACCACCACTACTGCAATCACAACAACCACCATCACTGCTATAACCACAACAACCACCATCACTTCTGCAACCATCACAACCACCATCAATACTACAACCACTACAATCACCATCACTGCTGCAACCAGCACCACCATTATTGCAACCACCACAACCACCATCACTACTGCAACCATCACAATCACAATCACTGCTGCAACCACCACCACCACTACTACCAGCACCAGCACCATCAATCAGGAATTTCACATCAACACTGTAAACAACACAAGACCAACAGTGATGGACTTACCCTCCTGGTGGTTGTAGCTCCTGGACTACCTCACTCACAACACAAGAACAACAGTGAAGGACCACCTCACTCACAACACAAGAACAACAGTGATAGACTCACCCTCCTGGTGGTTGAATCTCGCGGACCACCTCAATCACAACACAAGAACAACAGTGTTAGACACATCCTTCTGCTGGTTTTAGCTCCCGGACCACCTCAGTCACAACACAAGAACAACAGTGATAGACTCACAATTCTGGTGGTTGTAGCTCCTGGACTACACTCACAACACAAGAACAACAGTGAAGGACTCACCCTCCTGGTGGTAGTAGCTCCTGGACCACCTCACTCACAACAAAAGAACAACAGTGATGGATTCACCATCCTGGTGGTTGTAGCTCCTGGACCACCTCACTCACCCTTCTGGTGGTTGTAGCTCTTGGACCACCTAACTCACAGCACAAGATCAACAATGACGGACACACCCTCCTCGCGGCTGTATCTCCTGGACCACCTCACTCAAAACACAAGAACAACATTCAAGGACTCACCTTCCTGGTGGTTGTAGCTCCTGGTCCTCCTCACTCACAAGACAAGAACAACAGTGAAGGACTCACCATCCTGGTGGTTGTAGCTCCTGGATCACCTCACTCACAACAAAAGAACAACAGTGATGGATTCACCATCCTGGTGGTTGTAGCTCCTGGACCACCTCACTCACCCTCCTGGTGGTTGTAGCTCTTGGACCACCTAACTCACAGCACAAGATCAACAATGACGGACACACCCTCCTCGCGGCTGTATCTCCTGGACCACCTCACTCAAAACACAAGAACAACATTCAAGGACTCACCTTCCTGGTGGTTGTAGCTCCTGGTCCTCCTCACTCACAAGACAAGAACAACAGTGAAGGACTCACCATCCTGGTGGTTGTAGCTCCTGGATCACCTCACTCACAACAAAAGAACAACAGTGATGGACTCACCCTCCTGGTGGTTGAAGCTCCATGACCACCTCGCTCACAACAGACGAACAACAGTGATAGACACACCCTCCTGGTGGTTGTAGCTCCTGGACCACTTCACTCACATCACAAGAACAAAAGTAATGGACTCACTCTCCTGGTGGTTGTAGCTCCTTGACCGCCTCACTCACAACACAAGAGCAACAGTGGTAGAATCAACCACCTGGTGGTTGTAGCTCCTGGACCTCTTCACTCACAACAGAAGAACAACAGTGATGGACTCACCCTAATGGAGGTTGTAGCTCTTGGATCACCTCACAGCACAAAAACAACAGTGATGGACTCACCATCCTGTTTGTTGTAGCTCCTGCACCACCTAACTCACAACACAAGAACAAAAGTAATGTACTCACGATTCTGGTGGTTTTAGCTCCTGGACCACCACACTCGCAACACAAGAACAACAGTTTTAGACGCACTCTCCTGGTGGTTGTAGCTCCTGGACCACCTCACTCACAACACAAGAACAACAGTGATAGACTCACCCATTTGGTGACTGTAGCTCCTGGACCACCTCACTCACAACACAAGAACAACAATGATGGACACACCCTCCTCGTGGTTGTAGCTTCTGGACAACCTCACTCACAACACAAGAACAACATTGAAATACTCACCTTCCTGGTGGTTGTAGCTCCTGGACCACCTTAATCACAACACTAGAGCAACAGTGATGGATTCACCCTCCTCGTGGTTGCAGCTCTTGTACCGCCTCACAACAAAAGAACAACAGTGAAGGACTCACCTTCGTGGTAGTTGTAGCTACTGGACCACCTCACTCACAACACAATAACAACATTGAAGGACTCGCCCTCTTGGTGGTTGTAGCTCCTGGACCACCTCACAATATAAGAACAACAGTGAGGGATTCACACTCCTGGTAGTTGCAGCTCCTGTACCACCTCACAGCACAAGAACAGTAGTGAAGGACTCACCTTCTTGGTAGTTGTAGCTCCTGGACCACCTCACTCACTCTCATGCTGGTTGTAGCTCCTGGACCACAACATTCACAACACAAGAACAACAGTTATGGACTCACCCTCCTGGTGGTTGTAGCTCCTGGACCACTTCGCTCACAACATAAGAACAACAGTGATGGACTCACCCTCCTGGAGGTTGTAGCTCCTGGACCACCTCACACACAACACAAGAACAAAAGTAATGGACTAAAAATTCTGGTGGTTGTAGCTCCTGGACCATCTAACTCACAACACAAGAACAACAGTGATGGACTCACCCTCCTGATGGTTGTAGCTCCAGGACCACCTCACTCACAGCATAATAACAATCAAGAAGGATATCCTCCTGGCGGTGTGCTCCGGACACTTCACAATAACAAGATATAACAGTGATGACACACAATCCTGGTGTTATAGCTCCTGGACCACTAACTTCAATCACAAAAACAATGAATGGAGTCAACCTCCTTGATGGTGTAGTCTGACCACCTATCACAACCAAGAACAACGTGATGGACTCACCCTCCTGTGGTTGACCCTGGGTCAGTCACAGTCACGACTCCACACATCATCATTCAATCAGTCACATCCAGCTCCAACGCGAGGAGTGTGCTGGGTAGTGACGTCACGGCTGCTGCTGACACTGCTGCTGCTGACACTCTCACACCTGTAGTGATCACCATACTGTCACCATCACTACTGTAGTGATACCTTACTGTCTCAATCACTACTATAGTGATATACCATACTGTCACCATCGCTACTGTAGTGATACACCTTACTGTCACCATCACTACTGTAGTGATATACCATACTGTCACCATCACTACTGTAGTGATACCATACTGTCTCAATCACCACTGTAGTGATACACCATACTGTCACAATCACTACTGTAGTGATACATCATATTGTCACCATCACTTCTGTAGTGATACACCATGGCCTCCATAGTGATACACCATGTTGTCACCATCATTACTGTAATGATACACCATTCTATCACCATCACTACTGTAGTGATACATCATATTTTCACCATCATTACTGTAGTGATGCACAATACTGTCACCATCACTACTGTACTGATACTCCATTCTGTCACCATCACTACTGTAGGGATACACCATACTGTCACCATCACTACTGTAGTGATGCACCCTACTGTCACCATCACCACTATAGTGATACACCATACTGTCACTGTCACCTCTGAGGTGATACATAATACTGTCACCATCACTACTCTAGTCATACACCTTACTGTCACCATCACTACTGTAGTGGTACACCATGCTGTCACCATCACTTCTCTAGTCATACACCTTACTGTCACCATCACTACTGTAGTGATACACCATACCGTCGCCATCACTACTGTAGTGATACACCATACCGTCGCCATCACTACTGTAGTGATACACCATACTGTCACCATTACTACTGTAGTGATACACCATACTGTCACCATTACTACTGTAGTGATACACCATACTGTCACCATTACTACTGTAGTGATACACCATACTGTCACCATTACTACTGTAGTGATACACCATACTGTCACCATTACTACTGTAGTGAACACCATACTGTCACCATTACTACTGTAGTGATACAACCATACTGTCACCATTACTACTGTAGTGATACACCATACTGTCACCATACTACTGTAGTGAATACACCATACTGTCACCATTACTACTGTAGTGATACACCATACTGTCACCATTACTACTGTAGTGATACACCATACTGTCACCATTACCACTGTAGTGATACACCATACTGTCACCATCACTACTGTAGTGATACACCATACTGTCACCATTACTACTGTAGTGATACACCATACTGTCACTATACTACTGTAGTTGATACACCATACTGTCACCATTACTACTGTAGTGATACACCATACTGTCGCCATTACTACTGTAGTGATACACCATACTGTCGCCAATTACTACTGTAGTGATACACAAACGTCGCCATCACTACTGTAGTGATACACATACTGTCACCATTACTACTGTAGTGATACACCATACTGTCACCATTACTACTGTGTGATACACCATACTGTCACCATTACTACTGTAGTGATACACATACTGTCACCATTACACTGTAGTGATACACCATACTGTCACCATTACTACTGTAGTGATACACCATACTGTCCACCATTACTACTGTAGTGATACACCATACTGTCACCATTATACTGGTAGTGATACACCATACTGTACCATTACTACTGTAGTGATAACCATACACTGTCACCATTATACTGTAGTGATACACCATACTGTCACATTACTACTGTTAGTGATACACCATACTGTCACCATCACTACGTAGTGATACACCTACTGTCACCATTACTACTGTAGTGATACACCTACTCTCACCAATTACTAGTGTAGTGATACACCATACTGTTTGCCATACTGCGTGAGTGGATACCCATACTACTCACCATTACTACTGTAGTGATACACCATACTGTCACCATTACTACTGTAGTGATACACCATACTGTCACCATTACTACTGTAGTGATACACCATACTGTCACCATTACTACTGTAGTGATACACCATACTGTTCACCATTACTATGTAGTGATACACCATACTGTCACCATTACTACTGTATGTGATACACCATACTTCACCATTACTACTGTAGTGATACACCATACTGTCACCATCACTGCTGTAGTGATACACCATACTGTCACCATTACTACTGTAGTGATACACCATACTGTCACCATTACTAGTGTAGTGATACACCATACTGTTGCCATTACTGCTGTAGTGATACACCATACTCTCACCATTACTACTGTAGTGATACACCATACTGTCACCATTACTACTGTAGTGATACACCATACTGTCACCATTACTACTGTAGTGATACACCATACTGTCACCATTACTACTGTAGTGATACACCATACTGTCACCATTACTAGTGTAGTGATACACCATACTGTTGCCATTACTGCTGTAGTGATACACCATACTGTCACCATCACCACTGTAGTGATACACCATACTGCCACCATCACTACTGTAGTGATACACCATACTGTCAACATCTCTACTGCAGTGATTCACCATATTGTCATCATCACTACTGTAGTGATTCACCATACTCTCACCATCACCACTGTAGTGTTACCATACTGTCACCATCACTACTGTTGTGATACACCATAATGTCACCATCACTACTGTAGTTTTACACCATACTGTTATCATCACCACTGTAGTAATACACCATACTGTCACCATTACTACTGCAGTGATACACCATACTACAACCATCACTTCTGTAGTGGTACACCATACTGTCACCATCACTACTGTAGTGATACACCATACTGTCACCATCACTACTGTAGTTTTACACCATACTGTCACCATCACTACTGTACTGATACACCATACTGTCACCATCACTACTGTAGTGATACACCATACTGTCACCATCACTACTGTAGTTTTACACCATACTGTCACCATCACTACTGTACTGATACACCATACTGTCACCATCACTACTGTAGTGATACACCATACTGTCACCATTACTACTGTAGTGATACACCATACTGTCACCATCACTACTGTAGTGATACACCATACTGTCACCATTACTACTGTAGTTATACACCATACTGTCACCATCACTACTGCAGTGATACACCATACTCTCACCATTATTACTGTAGTGATACACCATACTGTCACCATCACTACTGTAGTGATGCACCATACTGTCACCATTACTACTGTAGTGATACACCATACTGTCACCATCACTACTGCAGTGATACACCATACTCTCACCATTATTACTGTAGTGATACACCATACTGTCACCATCAACAGTGTTTATCATCACAACATCAGTGTTGTCAGGGTGGACAGTGTTGTCAGTGTGGACAGTGTTGTCAGTGTGGGCAGTGTAGTCAAAATAGTAATGATGTCAGTGCAGAGAGTGTTGTGGGGGTGAATTATGGTGTCAGGGTGAATTGTGTTGTCAGCATGGACAGTGTTGTCTGTTTGTACAGTGTTGTCTGTGTGGAGTGTGTTGTTAGGGAGGACAGTGCTGACAGGGTGGGCAGTGTTGAAAGGGCGGACAGTGATATCAAACGTGACGGTGTTGTCAGGGTGGTCGGTGTCATTAGACCAGCCAGAGTTGTCAGTGCGGTCAAAGTTGTCAATATGGATAATGTTGTCAGAGTGGACAGTGTTGCCAGAGTGGAGAGTGTTTTCAGGGGGGAAAAGTGTTGTCAGGGGGGAAAGTGATGTCAGAATGGGCAGTGCTGTCAGGGTGGACAGTATTGTCAGTGTGTGTAGTGTTTTCAGGGACAACAGTGTTGTCAAGGTGAACAGTGTTGTTAGGGACAATAGTGTTGTCAGGGTGGAACGTGTTGTAAGGGACAACAGTGTTGTCAAGGTGAACAGTGTTGTTAGGGACAATAGTGTTGTCAGGGTGGAACGTGTTGTAAGGGACAACAGTGTTGTCAGGGAGGAGAGTGTTGTCAGTTAGGACAGAGTTGTCAGTGTGGAAAATGTTGTCAGGGCGGACAGTGTTGTCAGGGAGGACAGTGTTGTCAGATAGCACAGAGTTGTCAGGGTAGACAGCGTTGTCAGGGAGGACAGTGTTGTCAGGGTGAACAGTGTTGTCAGGATGGACAGTGTCAGCGTGGACAGTGTTGTCAGGGTGGACAGTGTTGTTAGGGTGGACAGCGTTGTCAGAGTGGAGAGTGTTGTCAGAGTAGTCAGTGTTGTCAGATTGAAGAGTGCTGTCAGGGAGGACAGTGTTGTCAGCGTGACAGTGTTGTCAGGGAAGACATTTTAGCGTGCATGGACATTGTTGTCAGGGAGGACAGTGTTGTCACAAAGAATATATTGTGGTTGGTGACTCTCAGGTAAGATATATTGACCGTGCTTTTTGTAATAGGAATAAGAAGATGAGAGATAGAGTGTGCTTCCCTGGAGCTGGTGTTGGGGACATAGTCAACAGGCTGGATAATATCATGTCAGGTAATGGGAACAAGCCCATTATCTGTCTCAGTGCTGGTGGAAATGATATTGGGAAGGGTAGGAGAGAAGAGCTGCTAGATAAGTACAGGTGAGCAATTTTATAAACATGATTTAGCTTCAGTTGTTTTACTCTGTCTTCAACATTCAGCATATCCAACTGCTGTAATTCATCCTGGCCTACATGTGCTCTTGGTCCCAGCCCCAGGATGAATCTTACGATTTTGTTCTGGGTGATTTGCAGTCTATCTTTCAGTTTTTTTTTGTCAAGGCAAAGTACCAAGAAGAGCAAGCGTAATCCGTCTAGCCCTTATACAATGCCATATGGATTACGCTTGCTCTTCTTGGTACTCTGCCTTGACAAAAAAACTGAAAGATAGACTGCAAATCACCCAGAACAAAATCGTAAGATTCATCTGGGGCTGGGACCAAGAGAACATGTAGGCCAGGATGAATTACAGCAGTTGGATATGCTGAATGTTGAAGACAGAGTAAAACAACTGAAGCTAAATCATGTTTATAAAATTGCTCACAAACAGTGTCCAGAATATCTTGCTGTCAATTTTGTCAAGGTTGGGAACCGCAGCAATCATAGTAC